TATTTAACTTTATCTGTTTCTGCATGCTCTAAAAACTTTTTTTTTTTTTTCACATTTCAATTCTTTGGAACTCTCTCCCATTCTTATGTTTTCCTAACTCATAACTCCTACAAAATTATATTTTCTTTTTTCTACCACATCAAAATTGAAACTTAGCTGGGATGAACCTTGGGGAAAAAAATGGTGTAATTATAGGGTATGAAGTCTCTGTTGAAGGTATAATGGCATTTCTTTCTTTTTATGTTCGAACTTTTTTTTTACTTTGATAAATATAAATAATAATATAAATATTGAAGCTAAAAAAAGAAAAATCAATATTTCCATGATTTTGCATTATTAGTGTTAATATTTTTGTTATATTTTGTTTGAATATTTTTATTTATGTATATTTTGTCATGATAAATATATTAAGAAAAAGAAAAACTAGATAAATTTTTTGATTATAAAGGAACAATAACAACGAGATAAAAGCTTGAGCAGCGAGTAGTATTTGTACAAGAGAGTAAGAAATGCAATCTATTAACTACGGACAAATACTAGGCGTTTAGAAAAATACTTGGCAGGGTTATCCAACTATATTTTCAATGTGTTTTAGACCTTATTTTTAAAAGAAAGGACGTTATTAGAAGTACTTGTCTAAATATGACATCAATGTTCCACACAAGGATGAATAAAAGATTGATAGATGTAGAGAATGGAATCAGAAGTGTTAAAACGACAAGCAAGGTAAATGATGAACTATAGCAGAGACCAACTTGATTGAGTGCAATGATTGAGTGTTTCCATGAGAGGTCAGTAGTAAAAGAAATTTAGAGAAGATATTAAGTAAAAAACTCAAAATAAGCGTCTCACTTACTCAATAAAAAAGTGTAAATGAAAAAAAGAGTGAGTAAAAAGAAGAGTGACTGAGTGAGTGAGTCAATAAAAAGTATAAGTAAAATTAAAATAATTTTTTGCAGTAACTGCTCTTATCTGTCAAAGAAGAAAGATCTTCTTCATGATGATTTTATGAAAGAATCATGAAAGAAATCTCATGAAGGAAATCTCAATGAATAAAGGAAACATTTTGTAACATCATGAAAAAAATGAAACATGAAGAAAATCTCAATGAATAAATGAAAAAAAAATTGAAATGAATAAGTGTGTTGTTTATCACACACTTATTTATTTCAAATTTTTAAATAACAATTTATTTTAAGTTTTTATAAAGCAACTTAAATACTGTGGTTAGAAAGGAATGATTCAATAATTTTAGAGTTTTTCTGAGATGTATCTTATGAAGATAGTTTATTGAGAAAACCAGCATCAAAAGCCTTTATCAAGATATATGTTAAATATCAAAAGAAACATATCAAGATTTCAATCAACCATATCAAGAGAGCAACCAAAAGGCAACAGCCTTGCCTCACTTTATCATTATCTTGCCTCACTGCCTTCTACCTAATCTTTTTATTTTATTTTTACTATGGTTACAATGAGTCTGCAGTAAAACAAGAAAATTAAAACTATTCATTTATTTCTCAATTCAGATAGCAAATAATTAGTTAATAAATAACTAATATTCAGGTTTAAATTTAATTTAGAAATTGAATTTTTAGACTCAAGATGAATTTTTAGAAGGGTTTTACTAATAACAGTTTAATATTTAATAATGATAGTAACTAGGCAACAGTTAGAGGAGACGGAGCCATCACCAACAAACATCTCAAACAACACTTTTAACTTCCAACAAGGCTGAAAGCAACTACTAATAAGTTGGGAGTTACAATAAAAAAAATATAGAGTTATATAGCAAGTAAAATAAAATAAAAAGTGTTGATAGAAGGTTTTAAAAGTTGAAACTGAAAAATAGTAGAGTTATATAGCAAGCAGGTTGACAGAAGACTTGAAAAGTTGAAGGTTGTATGAGTCAGAAAACATGAAGATGGGAGAGAGTTAAAGTGCAGAAAAAAACAAGACAAATAAAAGTTTTTACAGCATGCAGGGGCTGATACAGTAAAAAGATAAGGCTTTGCTGAATTATGAGTCAAACAAAAATAAGTTTTAGTTGATGGAGCTTAAGATGATAACCTAGTATTTGTAAGAAAGAGATGCAACTTTATGATCATGGAAAAGAGGCTCAAGCTTAGCAGATAGAGCATTTCCAACATCATTAACAATGCAGTTTATGAAGTTGAAAATGAGAAATTTGAAAACTTTGTCAAGTTTTGTTAGAAATTAAATGAAATTTTTAAATTTTACAAGCCACTACAAACAGTTTGTTACGAACTGAGATATGATTTATGATCAATTGCCTGTTCTTAGACATTGAAAGGAGAAGACTTTTTGTCAAGGCTGGAGTTTAAAGTTAAATCATCACCAAATATAGCCACTTTAGATTTAAGGTTGTCAGGATGACAATTATGATAAGATAAAAAACAAGGATCAAACTTTGACCTACCATTGAAGTTACTGGAAATAAAATCAAGGATTACTATAATTAAACAAATAAAAAAAAATGATTTGATAGTTTCAAAATCTTTTCCAGATACGCCATATGAAGCAAGCTTGTACAGAAGACCTGCACGCCAAACCTTACTGAAAGCTTTAGTTATATCAAGAACAATGGGCTGTTGCCTTGCCTAGCTGCCTCCATATAATACACAATAGAATCTTTTAATCACAGCAGTTAGCAAGTTAGCTATAGTGGGAGAAGATTCAAAACCGTATCGATTGACTGACAGTAAGTTATTTGACTCAAAATGGGATTAGAATGATCAATAACTCAAAGACCTTGCTAACAACAGATAGAAGACTGACTGGACAATAGTTAGAGAGGTCATGATGTTTTTCAGAAATTTTAAAATTTTCATATGCCACCGAGTGATTGGTTAAAAATTTTGCTTTTAACCCTATTTCTGAAGATCACGTAGATTAATTTCTAGTTTTTAACAAAATTTATAAAGAATTTTTAAAAAATATATACAATCAGGGTTGCTACTGGTCATGGAAATCATGGAAATGTTACGGAATTTCATTTCAGGTCTTGAAACTTTTTAAAATAATCTTTTTCTACTAATGATATTTTTAAAATAATTGTAAAAAAGAATTCACATTTTGAGAAAAAGTCTTCTTTTTTGGATTGTTTAGAACAGGCAGCCAGATTTTAATCTGTTCTTCCATCTGTAACAGCCTGAGGCTTGCAGTTTCTTTTTGATTTTAACTTCAAAAATTTCCTGGGGAGAAAACAAATAAAAAAATTGCATTCACAAAATTTGTTACAAATAACTTATTGGTAGGTGTAGTGTTATTGACAGACAACATTATTATCTCCCATTATTACTTTAAATGTTTTACCTTTAAAGGAAAGTTAGTGAGGGCTTACCACTTCAAATGTTGTACTTTTAAGGACAATAAAAGAGTCTTATCCTAATCCTTAAATGCTTTTTATTTACAAAGTTAATAAAACAGAATTATAGAACCATAAAACTGAAATGTAGAAAACTAAATTAATGAACTGTATTCTCATTAGGAAATAATAGAATGAGTTGTCATAAAAACAGAGAAACAAGCAAAACCTATGCATTGAGTCAAGGAGATACAGCATTCAACATCCTAAACCGGAAACAATCTATTATTAATACACCTGCCTAAAAGATGAAGAAGGGGTGCAAGGCTTGTCAACAAATAGAATCTGTTAACCCCTTAAACTTAAACCACTTTACCGCTTGTTAGAACAACCCTTGCAATGCAGTTTATAAAATATGATAAAATTTGATGACATAATTGAAATAAAATTTTTTTTCTTTAGTTTGACTATTATAACAATTATCCAAATGGCCAGTTGTTATATTTTTTACATTAAATATTTTTATTGCAAGTTTTGTTTTCTCTTTCTTATCTATTTAAATGAAAAAAAAAAAAAAAAAGTTAAATAAAGAATTAAAACTTAACAGAAACTTGTGTAAAATTTGTAGTCAGTTTTATGACAAATTTTTTTAATCATACTTGTTTATATATTCTAGATTTTAGAATGCATTATATTAACTTTGAACCTGTCAATTTAAATTGAGTTTGAAAACAGATATTTAATTAATATAATGTAAAAATTTAGTATCTCATTATTTTATCCATGATTTATACAATTTCCATTTTTTAACACATTGCAAAACTCTTTTCTGAAAAGAAATCATTAAATAATAGAAACACATTTATTGTTGTTATGATGTGAAAAGTATTATATGTCGTTTAGTATTTCATAATATTTTAATACATAAATTGTACTTATTTTGTTTTTCTTAAAAAAAAGGAAAAAATTTTGAAACTTTTTAAATTTATAATGTTTTTGAAGATAACAAGAAAGTTTTGTCAAGTGTTGGCTTATACTTGGTAGTATCTTACATTATATTAAATTATCGAATCCTTTGACAGACAACTTTATCTCTTAATTTGAGTCACTACCACATTAAAACCACAAGTTTTTATCCTTTGTCTCATGTTGTTTCGTATTTGCCTAGGTACTAAGTAATGTAGGTACCTCCATATCTTTATTTCTGATTACCCCTGATTCTGGTACCTTCTTCTGGTTCCTCTTTACCTCTGATTCTGATACCTCTATCTCCTGATTATATCTGATTCTGATACTTCCATCTCCTAATTCCTAATTACCACTGATTCTGATTGATATTTTTGTTTTAATTTTATATTTTTTCAAGGAAAACTAATAATTATATTTAAGACGAAAAGTTATATAATGACACATCTACAATCTTCAACTCAGTACAATTTTGAGGTATTGAGATCTTGCAACAGTTTTTTCAGTTTAGTTTAATAATAAATTAACAATTATTAAAATAACTGTTTAATTTAAAGTATTTTAACTTTTTGCTTGTTATTTGTAACTGTTTGTTGGTTATTTTAATATTAGTTTTATACTAAAAAATAAAAAAAAATGTCCTCAGCTTACATAACTTTATTAGATAAGTAACTTGATTAGATATATAAGCAGCCATTTTGTTTAGATACGTGCTCTAACTAGTGAAGGAAAAGGATTAAAGGATTAACAGCTTATTTGATAGGAACAACAAATACTCTTGGTATTTTTTGTTATAATTATTTTTTACATTAAACAAAACACATTAAGCATAATTTAATATTTTGAAAATGCATTTTTACATCTTGAATCCAGATTATAGGCACTAGACATTAGATAGGGCACAGGCTCTAGACATGGTATAGGGCACAGGCACAGACATAGTATAGGGCACAGACACAAGGCAGGGTAAAGAAGACAAAAGCTTTGAAGTAAAAGTAATTTTTATTAATTCATTTAAACAAAAATCTCTATAAACTGATTTTTTTTGTTTTTGAGAAGATTAAAAACTAGAAGTTAAAATATTTGGAGAAACCTTGATGAAAAAAAAAAGAAATTGTGTTTTATTGATAGATGAAGTTTATGTAAAAGCAGCATTATTATATCAAAGTGAAAGTATTTTTGGAAAAGCTGTTAATAATCCAGAGAAATTAGCTACTACTGTACTTTCATTCATGGTAAAAAGCCTTTATGGTGGACCTGAATTTCTAGCAAGAGTTTTACCAGTTAGTAATCTGACATCAGATTTCCAACAAGAACAGTGCAAATTAATTGTAGACACCATAGAAAGTTCTATGAGTAATGGTAAAGTTGTTGCAATTATTACAGATGGAAATAAAGTTAATCAAAGCTTTTTTTCTAAATTCAAAACCTTTTCTTATGCACTTTAAAAAATGTCCATCTTTTAAAGTGCATAAGAAACAATTGGCTGACAGAAAAACTAGGTCAGTTACAGTTTACTCAAAATAAGATAACTTACATTGCAAATTGGAGAGATTTAGTTAACTTATATACACTTGAAAAAAACCAATTAATAAAGTTATCCAGATTGACTGATATCAACATATCATCATCATAACATCAATAAATCCTAAACCAATAGAACGGCAAAAAGTAAGCACTTGTTTACAAGTATTTAGTGAAGAGACAGTTGCAGCTCTAAAAACTCATCCTAAAATAGACCAAGAAAGTGTCAAGGGTACTATTATTTTTTTGGTTGATTATAGAATTTTGGAAAATAGTGAATGTTAAATGCCCAGGTGCCAATGCTAGATTTAGGGATGAGTCACGTAATGTAATCAGATCTTCAGATGACATTAATTTAAAAAAGTTACTTGCTATTGCAACAATGGCAGAATATATGAAACCAACATCTGGTAAATGAATTCGCCAGCTTACGAAAGATACAAGCAATGCACTTTCACACACTTGTCGTGGACTAATTGATTTGTCTTGTCATCTTTTATCAAGTGGAAATGAGTATGTTATTTTAGGTTGGTTTTCTAGTGATCCAATTGAGAAATGTTTCGGAAAACTATGGCAAGGTTCTGTTGGTACTTACTTTATAACTGCTAAATCAGTTATCGAAAAAGTACATACTCAACATGCTAAGCTGGTGCTACAGCTGAATATCGAAGTAGAAGGAAATGATGGCCATGACTGTCTTTTATGTCTTAAAGATTTAGATGATATGGAAATTGATATAATTTACAATTTAGCAGATCTAGAAGATAGTATAAATATAGAAATTTTTTATGCTATTGTCTATATTGCTGGTTATGTTCAAAAGTGTTCTACTAAATTGGTGAAGATACAACTAATGCGGTAGTGGTGTAGTGGTAGAGCGCTCGCTTCATAAACGAGTGGTTCCGAGTTCGATTCCCACCACGTCCCTGGTAGTACCGCACTCAACTCGTTTCTCCGCGCAGCGGCCTTGTTTGTCAAGGTTCGTGTTTCGGAGTTATAGAGTTGAGAGAGGGTTATAGCCACAAATAAGTAGCCTCCTTGTCTGTAGTGGCCTTCTCGACCTTGAGGAGGTGAATTAAAATTAAAAAAAAAAAAAAAAAAAAACATATTATGAAAAATATGGAACTTATTTGAATACTTTAAATAGGGGAGGATTAACTATTCCATCTGATACTCTATCTGATCTCAGTGGTCTTTATTTTGTTACATATTTTTTTCTTTATTAGATAAAAAAGTTTGCAGAACATTTCTGATACGACAGTTTGCTTTTATTGCAGAGTTGTATAGTTTTTCTATTGCAAAGAAACAATGCCAAACACTAGCAAACAATTTTTTAAAGAACTTTGCATTACTTCACACTCCCAAAAGTAATAAAGAAGCAAAACTAAAAGAAATCAAGCTTATGTAAATTTTTTTTTGGGAAGATTTAGTACAAAAAAAAATTAGATTTGTTATTGGTGTATTTTTCTGATTATTTATTATTTCTTGTATATTCAAAAATTTGATTTAAAATGTTTCTATTCAAATTTACAAACTATTTAAGCTTATAAAATAGTTGTCAAATTAACGTCAAGAAACTCATTTTATAAAAATGCATCCAAAATTTTTTCAAATAGAATAATTAGTTATTAAATAATTAGTGTTAGCAAAGCTGTACAGCATTTTTCTCGTTTAATAAACCACCATTTTATTTTTAAATCAGCCTTCAGTCAAAAAAATTCCCGCACGGTGTTGAGGCCTTCTATAAAGTAGGCCATGATATATATATATATATATATATATATATATATATATATATATATATATATATATATATATATATATATATACTTATATATACTTATATAGTTCTTGCAGATATAACTATATATGATATGTGATAACTGTATTGATATATATATATACTTATATAGTTTTTAACTACTGTGTGAGTCATAAGTTTTAAGACATGAAAATCATCATTATAATGATGATTATCATGTCTGAAAACTGTAAATTAAAAACTATTGATAGAAGACTGCAAATTAAAAACTGTTGATAGAAGACTTTAAATTTAAAACTATTGATAGAAGGCTGCAAATTAAAAAATGTTGATAGGAAATTGTAAATGAAAAACTGTTGATAAAAGAATGTAAATTAAAAACTGTTGATAGTTTAAAACTTGTTAAGGACTGTAAATTAAAAACTGCTGATAGAAGTTGGTAAATTACATGAGTCAGGAAAACATGAAGAGATGTGTGATTTTGAAAGTACTGACGTAAAAAAAGGATTTATTTTATTTATGGTTTTAATAAAAGATCAGTAGTAAACAATAATCCAAAGAGACTTATTGTAGAGGTCTCAATAAGAGTGTTACGCTAAAAGAATATAAATAATATCACAATAATTATTAACAGTAAAAAAACAAGTTTAAGGAGTCTTGTTTTCTAGCGTGCTGGAAAACGGCATCTGTTATCCCCATTTTAGAAAATTCTGGAGAGCTATCTAACAAGTAATTAGCAGTCCGACAACCATCTCGTTAATCCTCTTTCTATCATAAGCAAAGTTCTTGAACCTTTAATTAACAAACACTTAATCTCTCATCTTGATTCTAATAACTTACTTTCTGATCATCAATAAAGGTTTTGATCTTTTCGTTTTACAGCTAATTTGCTAACAGTAATAATCCAATAATAAGGTTTTATTGTGCGTTAGATAAAGTATTTGATAAAGCTTTTGATAAAGTTTTGCATGCTGTTCTTCTCAATAACCTTTTTTCTTACAATGTATCAGGTAACATCTTTAAGATTTTTGAATCCTTTCATTCCATTCGTAATTTAAAAATAGTCCTTGATGGACAGCACTCTTATTCATATGCTTTTTTAGACAAGATGCAAAAATAAATTGTAAACATAGTTGGACCTACTTTTGTAGCCAACCTCCAACCATTATCTCATTGTCGTAATGTTGCTTCTCTTTCTCTTTTTTACAAATATTATAATGGGCACTGCTCTAAAGAGCAAGTGATTCTTGTGTCATCTACTAAAATTCATTCTTGTGTTACTTTGTCATTTAGTTAAGTCTCATCCTTTTTGTGACCGTTCCTAAGTGCTATAAAATCTCTTATTCATCTAGTTTTTTTCCTCAAACATCAGTTTTTTGGAATTAGTTTTCTTCATCTTGCTTTCCTGGTTTATACAATTTGCAATCTTTTAAGTTGTTTGTCAATCATTATCTTGCTCTACAAACTTCATATTTTCTCTATTGAATGTTGTTCTTTTTTTAGCAAATGTTTTTCTTTCTTATATCAATATTTTTTGTTTATTACTTGTTTAAATATATATTTATTTATTTGATTTATGCTTTAGAATTAAATTTATATATAAATAAATAATTTTCAAAACAATTAAAGAACTACAACTATAAATTAACAGTTAAAAATTGGAATTTCAGGTAATATATAGAGGAATTGACCGCTGTTTTACTGCGCAAGCTCTTCATCCAACTAAAATTTATAGCTTTACAGTAACTACATTTACTTATATTTGAAATTTGTTTTTAGTTTTAAAATGTTACTCTGAAGGGAAAATATTAAATTTCAGGGTTCAACTTGGATGAGTGAGGGTAGATGCGAAAGTTTACCCAGAACACGTCGAATCAGCATGCAATGTAAGTTGTTTCAATATATCCCAATTTTAATAATAATATATAGCTAAAAAAGTATAATTTTTTTCAGTTTTAAAATCAGATTTGAATTCTCTGACTGTTTATTCTATTACTGTTTATTTTATTACGTGCTTCCGTTTAGCACCTCTTCACTTGATTACCTTTTTCTACCCACTTTTTGGTGTTCTTTCTAGTCAAATTAAAGTTTTTTTATTCTTTATTCATTTACCAATGTTGTTGTTATTGGTGACTTTTATATTTATTAAACTCATTGACTTGGCTCTAGACTTTGCAGGTCTTAAATCTAAAAATAAATTTTATTTAAACCTCTTGCCGAGAAGAAAGTTGATAACTACAAACTGAAATGTGTTTAAAAAGTGTTTAAATACCTAAAAGTACCATCTACAGCAAGGATGGCCAAAGTCTTAATGACAAAGGGCAAAAAAAAATAATCACAAACATCTGTGTAAAAAGTAAATGATTACTACAGATGTAGTCTTTTTTATTTATATTTTCAATATTTTTCAATTCAAACAAAAACATCTTTTCAATTATCTTAGTATAATAACATCTGTGCACCTGGAGGTTTTCTCAGATGTAGTTACATCTTTTCAATTATGTTAAGTAAAACCACATCTACAACTACATCTGTAAATTCTGAAGAGGTAGTTACATTTTTTAAATTATATTAAAATTAGCTACATGATTTTATAGAATTTTTAAATTATGTGTTATATTAATCAGATGTAGTAGATGTACATATATGATTTTTTTTTAGATATAGTTACATTTGAAAAACTTATTAAATAAAAATGCATTATTTTAACCAGATTTAGTTTCATATAAGTTTTTTTTTCAGATGTAATTATATCTGTAAGAAATTCTTCCAGATGTTATTGGCCTTTGTGAAAAATTACCATATGTAGTTACTTCTATCTAAAGATGTTGTTAGGGATCGTTGCTTTTCCAGATGAACAGAATCTTTTCCAGATGGACAGAAGTTGTTAGAGTAAAAAAAAAGTACAGATGATCTTGGACAAAATTGCACAGATGATCTTGATTAGTCCATAGATGTTTTTGGACAGATGCATTAATTTTTTACCCAAATTTCTAGAATGCTTTCAGGAGAAATAGATGACAGAGAGCTTTTGATAATTTCTGTTACCAATAGCTCACCAGTTTATTTTTTAATCTTGTGTTATTTTGAATTTTTATGATCAGGGTTGGGATCAAATATGTATTTTTATTTAAAGTTTATTTATATTTGGTAGTTATGGGGTAAATTGGCGTATTTGTATTCGTGTTGCATTTGATTTTAAAATTTCTCAAAATTTTTTATTTGCATTTGATTGAAATGTATTTGTTACAGTGTTTTTCCCCAAAAAATCCCACCGTAAACAAGGTTGACTGGTGTTTATTTGGGAAAAACTAAGATAATTGTTTGTTTTTCTCTTCTTTTTTAACACTAAAATAAAGTAAAGGATAATTTTTAAAGTTTTAAATTTAAATGGATATTTATAAAAGACTTGCTTTCATTCTTCTATTTAGCATACCATTTTATCAATATTGTTAACTTACAAATATTTGTATTTGTATTTGGAAAATGCCAATTACATATATTTGTACTTGAATTAGTTTTGGAAATCTGAAATTAAAGTATTTTTATTTGTGTTTGACCCTGTCTATGATTATTAATTTGGTGTTTAATTGCTGATATATTCATTCTGATATAATGAATTGTTGATAAAAAGTTTTATTATTTTAAATTTTGAAATCTGCAAAGTCATTGTCAAATAACTGTAAAAATTGATATGGCTGCTTTTTTTATAACTCTTGCGCGCTTTTTTTTATAACTAACTTATAATTAATTTTGTTGATTCTTGAGTCATGCACTTTTTTTGCAAACGAGGTTTTGCGGCATAAACATTAGAAATAAAGTTTTATGATGGCTTCCATTGATCATTTTTATGTGATCATTTTTGTTTCCGATCTGCTTCAAATACAAATTTTGTAGGTTTATCAGGCCGCTATACAATAAGGGGTTGTTCCTAAATTACGTCACGCAATTTTTTACCATTTTTTACCACTCCCTTCCCCCTCGTTACAACCTTAGTAACAAGTACGAGTCGTCACAAAACCACTAATCCTTTCCCCTCCCGCCCTCTCCTCCCTAAAGCATGACGCAATCTATTGATGACACCTAAGGTGAAAATATGTTATTAAGTTGTTGTTTTTTTTTCTAAAATAAATGAAGAATTTTTCCAGATGTATTTAAATCTGAAAAATTTTCTATATGTAATAACATCTGGTTTAAATAATGCATTAATAGTTGATTGATTTTTAAAATAACATCATCTTAAAATCTGAAAATCTAGTTGCACATATATTAATACACATTGATTATTTAAAAGATGTGACTACATCTGTAAAATCCAAAGATGTTGTTGCACAGATATTATTACACTTAGATATTTTAAAAGATGTAACTACATCTGTATTTCATTTAATTTTTGGTCAGATGTTGTCAGACATCAATGAAACTTCAGATTTTGTTGGGCAAATGTTATTATACCTCATTATATTTACAGATGTTGTTGGACAGATGTTATTAGACATGGCAAAAAAACTGATCTTGTTACCCTGACCCTTATGTCGGATTTATTAATGACTTATTAAAATTTTGTTATTAAAAAAGTTTGGAAATAAAATAATAAAATTAAATTTTTTTTATTTTATTGTAGCTACATCATCGTCTATTTCAAAAAGAAGAATCTCAATAAGTAATTTGAATCGCGGTTCAACGAATTGTTAGTAAGCGACTAAATGTAACTAGTAAAGTTAAAAAATTTAAAGTAAAAATTTTAAGTAAAAATAAAAATGACAAAAGTGCAATTGTTAAATATATGTAAATAATATTTACAGTTATTTATATAAAGTTTAATTTTTCACAAAAGTTTTTTTCGCAAGATGGTATGTTGCAACTTTAAAATGTTTCAAGGATGGTGATGAAATTCCAGCAAAAAAAAACAGAGAGAAAAAAAGAGGTTAGTTCCCAAAAATTTATAAAACTTATTCGTTACAGACGCTATCCAGCAAAATCAGGAAGATCAGTTAAAAATAGTTGAAAACCAATTCCAAATCCATCAGAAATTTGATTAAAACAAACTGGATGAAAGCTAATTAAAAAACAGTTATCTCATGGCCGATAACATGGGTTTTAACACAATCGTCAATTTTAAAAAAAAATCATCTGTATATCGTCGGCTCGGGATGCAATTGTCGTATCGCAAATTTATTAAAGTTATATATAAATATGTAATTATCTAATATAAGTAAATTTAACATCATATATTAATGAAAAAGGTTTTTTTTTAACACGTAATTTTAAACTTACATTAATTACGTTATTACATATTTAAATATAATTTTAATAATTTTGCGATACGACAATTGCATCACGAGCCGACGATATCTAAAATTTTCTTTAATAAAAAAACAGTTTGAGGCGGTGTCGTCGGCTCTGTTATCTGCTGGTCCGACATTCAGAAATAAGCATTAGCGTGTTAAGAGACAAAAAATGATAAAGAAATGGTACCACCGACAACTTTTTCTAATGAAAAGTTAATCCTGCTTAAGCGCCCTATTAACAGAAAAAATGATTGAGTTTATAGAATTGTTGTTACTGAAACACGTTTAGAAAAAAAAATTCACTCAATTCATTCGATTATCATTGACAACTACAATAATGAGCATACACCAACTGAATCCTCCTGTAGAGGTACATTGTTATACTTGTCAAAAAAAGTTAATATACAAACGAAGAGATAATTTGATGATTTATTCACCTAATTTTATTAGAATCCACTTTTGTTGAATTAATTTTTTCCAAAAAATCCAATATTATTGTTGGGTGCATTTATAGGCACCCTTGCATGGACATAAATATTTTCAATAACATAATGTCTGCATTACTTCTAAAAATATCTGCAAAAAATTAATCTGTTTTTTTATTTGTTGATTTTAATATAGATTAGATACAATCAAGTAATAACATTGCGACCTGTGATTTTGATGAGCAACCGTGGCGCAGTGGAAACACACATGCCTCAGAAAAAAAGATTCCGTGGTTCAAACCCCACCTCTGGGCAAGTTTAGCGACATCGGTTGGGAAGGAGGCGTGAACTTCCTATAAAATGCTCATCCGCGGTGCTCTGTGATAAGACCGCAAGGACTTATTGGAGCACCTAAAATTTAAAAAATAAAAAAAATTTTAAACTTACTTTCTATTTATAATATTCGCTCTTTTATTACTTTGCCACGAATTACTGAACACTCTGCTACAATCATTGACAATATTTTTTCAAATTTAATAACTAATGTTATTATTTCTGGAAATTTGACAACTGCTGTCTCTGACCACCTACCTCAATTTTGTGTTTGTCCCAATTTCAACAAATTATTTATACCACGGAGTCACAAAATATATCGTGGAAATTTTAAAAACTTTGATAAAGAAAAATTTAGATCTGACTTATTAAAACGTGATTGGGATAACGTTATAAAAAACAGTGACACTAACTCTTGTTTCCATAAGTTTGTTACTGAAACAACATCGATTTTGGATTGCTATGCCCTACTTAAAAAGACTAGCATTAGGAGCTTCAATTTAAACCATGGATTAGAAAAGGAATCATAAAATTTATTCAAATAGCAATCTTTTTAAAAAAAAAATGTTAAGATCAAAAGATTTAATAAATATAAACACATTTGAAACTATTTTTATGCGATATAAATTCATGATAATTAATTTATTTAAACTTAGCAAGAAAATCCATTTTAAATTTTTTTTTAAGATAATGTAAAAAATCTTCGCGAAATTTGGAAAGGCATTAATAATGTAATAAATGTCAAAAATTATAACAGCTCATCTCCCAACTGTTTACAAGACAATGATAAATATTTAATTGAACCGACTCTAATCTCTGAAAAAATTAACACTTTTT